TCGCCGATAAGTTCGTGCCTCCGAGGCTTCAACCCTTATGGAATCACGAAGCAGGTAAACCTAGTTTTACTTCGTCATTCGTAGTTGTAGATGTCACAGTTCAGGGTGGAACATTAAACCACTGGTACATAAACAAAATCCAAAAGATTAGTCATAAGCATTCCCATAACACATGAATCAGTCCACCAAACTATACCTGATCTGCCACCTATTCAGTTTCAACTAAATGCTTTTCATTTGTTTGTTTCAGGTCCCAAAACAATCTTTTTCTGGGCTCCAGTCTTCAAATGGGTATTTTTTTTCACATTTAATTTGTGGAAAGAATTTATATTTCTAACAAACGAGACAAATTTACAAATTACGTAACCTGAGATGTCTGAATCATATCTTATTATTCTAGAATTGTGGAAAGTACACTGTTTTCTTTACAGAGTCTTGTCATTGCTGGACTGGGGGACCTTGCTCGTCCAGCTGAGAAACTTAGCATCCCACAGTCTGCTGCTCTCAGTGCCACAGGTCTTGTCTGGTCACGGTATTCCATGGTTATTATTCCCAAGAACTATAGTCTATTTAGTGTAAACGTATTTGTCGCCCTGACTGGCCTGTACTCACTGGGAAGAGCCCTGAAGTAAGTATATGCTGTTGATTTAGCTCAGATACCATGTTAAATTTGCACAGACATTTGAAAAGTCATCACAGTTCAAAGTCATAATTTCCTTAATCACCAATTATTTCCTGTCATTAGTCAATTGCTTAGTGTTTATAAACTTCGCAAACTCAATACATAATTTATCTTTAAATAATATATATTGTTATGCCAGTGGTATATATATACGTTCGCTACAATTTGTTGTTCCAAGTCTATTTCCCATTCACATGTCACTTAGAAAGCATCCTGAATGAACTTTCTTTCACCTTTAGATTTCAAATGTCTTGTTTTTCATTAATATAAGAACAAAAATGTTTGCAGTAGTGGAGTACATGTTTTCCAGATAACACTCCTTGCTAGTTTGCAACCTTGTTGGCCTTTTGTCTTCATTTATTTGAGATGCCACAGTATTATTTTTGTAAAACTAATCACACTCACTACCACTGCACATTGCTGTACCCTGAAATTAGTCCAATACTCTTACCAGAATAATTTTGATTCCTATTTTATACAATGTTTGTAAGAAATTTGTTCATATTTCAGCTATCAATATAATGTTAAGGGGAAAGCTGCAACTACAATAACATCGGCAGCCAGCTAGTGAAGTTATAATTCATACCCAGACAGAGCTTATGTACATAGAAACAAGTGTTTGATCAAGTGGAAAGTTCAATTTTTACACAGTTTTAGTGATAACAATAACTACACGTATTGTAGACTACATTGTATTCTTCAAATATTAGGTTTGGTGCTGCTATGAGACATTAAAATTTTAGAGTATTTTAAAGGTTACTGTTAATTATGTATACTGTGCTGTGCAGAAAATTTGGTTAAGAAATATAACCATTGCACATACATATCTATTTTTAAATATATGAATTTTTAGAGGCTCAATATATGTTGATTTATTCAGTTCTGCTGGCTTGTAGATATATTTGTTTTGGTTGTAACAGTTTAGAAATGTGCAAGATTTTATTTTAAAAAGCTGGTACCCAAAGAATTATTTTAATTGGATTAATCCCTATAAAGTACAACATATCAATACTGAATAACAAATATATAAACAAATAGCTATTCCACTATAAACTAGAAATCAGTTGTATCATCTAGCTCTTATGCCAAAATGTTGAAGTTTAAATATAGAACATGAATATGTTTCCTTGAGTGTTATGTTAGTCCCAATAAATATAATACACCATCTTGCCTTCTAGCATGTTGGAGCATGCACTACATTTGGATGTTATATATTAACACATGGAGAATCTTGTGTTGTAGGATGTAAGTTTTCCCGCAGCAAAAAACTGTTTGGTTACATTAACCCTTTAAAGCATAGTGATAATTATATTTACTGCCTGCTCTAGGAAACAATAATTCTGAATTTTGCCCACAAATTGTATTTGTTAGTTTCATATGATTCTCAGAGGAGAGGACTGAATTTTTAAATATTAGTAAAATGAGCTTTGACTTCAAAGGGTTAAATTCATAACCTTAATTTCCAGTACATAAGTATTATTGTAAACTTACCATTTGGATCTACACTGCAATCTGCTTATAGAAGACATGGCTTCTTGGTTGCTTCCTTAAAAAGTTCTTTGTCATAATCTGCACTACACAAAACCACATTTTAACATATAGAAGTTCTTAATGAACTATTTGCACTACAGAAAAAAAAGTCTCCCAGCACAAGATAAGATCCATAAATACATATTTTATAGCACACATTTTTCACATTTCAAACAAGACTCCATTACAATCTTCTGATCACAGATGATCTAATGATAAGTACAAAATAGTAGAAATATGATAAGAGTGCCATCTGTAAACTCAATATTGAAATACATAATGACTGATTGGAGTAATTGAGATTAAATACAGATGGCAGTGGTCTTCATCAGGAAGTTCTTGGATTGTTTTAAAACTTATAGGAAAAGTTAACATTTTATAGTATTTAATAATGTGAAAGCAACAAACTTTCTTCAGCCATAACTATATGTGGACTACCAGGTGCAGTCAGCCCATGAAAGATAATATTTTTGGTAATGCCATGTGATATGCTGACATACTATGTGTAACTTTAAATATTTAGCACAAATGTGCCGGCTAGCTGCACAAAACAAAATTCATATGAGTTCAGCAAATCCTCCTTTCTGAGTTATGCTCCTTTTTCCCTTTCCACATGTCTCACATCATTTAAATATAAGTGACTGATGAACATTTTTTAAAGTACAAAAATTGTAGGTTTTCACCAAAATCAACATAATGCACTGTAATAACTGTAGAATATAAAAAAAGACTAAAATGATGGGTATGGCAAGTGATGTTATTTCAGCAAGTTCCAGTGATATAAAATAAAGCCTTTAAGTATACAGCAAATATAATAGTTCCACAAATACTCTATACCTTTCTATTACTTTGCCAGCCCGTGTTCACTATACAAAGTTTTCATGCATCTATGCATTATGCTAAGAAGATATATAGAGTGCAGCAACACACATTCTAACTCTTGGCACCGAATGGAGGTGAGTGACCAGCTCCTCACTCCTTGAAAGAACCCTCTGAGTACACACCGGATAGGAGACTAGATGGGGCCCACTGGTCACTGTTGCAGCAACAAAAAAATAACCCTTGCCAGGAATCACATCCTAGCTCTTCAGCCCATAACAAGTCTCCCCCCCTCCCCCAGTTATCCATACAGTGATTGTAATCCAGAAAGCCAACATATAAAATATCAATCTATTAAAAGAAACCCTCTTATGCACAGAACAAGGGAAAACAGGTACAATCATAAACTCTATGCAACACTGCCAGATGCCATTAATTTCTTCCTCTTCCATTAGAGCCATCATCAGTAGTTTGATTGTTAGTGGCTTCAAGGCGAGACTGAATGATCAAGGACAGGTTTTGTACAATGTTATGCTGAACACGTGGTGAGATGGTACAGTGCCTGGCAGCACCTCGTCTGATCTGTGATACACTCTGCAGGACAGAACTACTGGGTCCATCTCTTGCACGTCGCAAAGGCTGAACTGATGAACCCGCATTCCGACTCGCAGAAGCGCTGTTTCTGGCACAGTTAAAGCTCCTTGATCCTGCTTGCTGTGGGGCATGCCCTGGCATTTCATGCCGATGAGAGAGATGTGAATTGCATATGTATGGGACAGGTGGGATTGTGACTGTAGAAGTTAACCCCAGAGATGACAGAAATGATGCCAATTGCTGTTGTCGAGTGGTAGTATCTCTGTTTGAAAGAACAACAGAAGTTACAACTGGCTCTACTTGATTAGAGGGAGAATTACTGCTCCTGCTTCTGCATGATGTACTGCTTCCAGGTGCATCATTGCCATAGGACTGCTGCTGATAACCACAGCCGTCCACAACACATACCTTCCTTTGATTAACCACAGAAGAGTTCAGATGATTCTGCCCCAGTTCTCCATTACCCTGTGTTTGCACGGCTGTCAGATTTCGGACTCCGTGTGCAAGGCAACCGCCATGTAAAGCACAGTGTGTAAGTCCCCCATTAGAATGACAATGTGACCCCGGAACAAAACTGTCGACATTTGTATGCTGTGACACCCCTCGAGAGGACTGTGGCTGGTACAAAGGGACAGATGCATCTGGATGATGATGATGAGGTTGAGAATGTATGCCAGAACTCACCACAGGCACCATTACCCTACCCGTGTTACCAGTATCGTTGACTGGTTGGGCTCTCTGAGTATCCCCAGAGGAGACACTCCAGGCCGGCTGAGATGTCACGCTGAATGGCTGACCAATTTGTACTGGGGGTAGCAAATGCTGATATTGAGCTAGCTCTTCCACAGTCACCTCCCGGGCATCTTGTCCAATCCTCTGCATCGGAATGTGCCCCACACATCTGTTGCACTGCATGGCCATCATCGACTGTCTGATGTGCTGCACGTTCTCAATCTGCTCCTGCAGCACAAACACAAACATTCTCCATGCCAAAGTTGTTTCCTGTTACTTTGCTTATTTGACAAAATATCATATCCACAGATTATGTAGCATTAACTGGGATGATGATACGGATGGCTTGTGGGAAGACTCTGACAGATGGCCAGGCCTCCAATGGCATACCATCAAATTCCAACCAGTAGTTCCAGAGTTTAAACAAGTAGACAGATCACATACACATTCATTTTGTGCATGCCATGCAAAGAATACAATAATAACTGAGTCATTCTAATAGTCACCTGTAGTGTTATTTTGTGACAGAAATCCTCCAATTTATCAGCTACTGGCACCTCCTGCAGGCACTGTTTAACTTCACTTTTATCTTCCTTTGAGTCATCAACGTCAGGTACAATCTAAATGAAAAGCAACAGCTAGTTACTCCTATGTCTAAGCACTCAAGAACTATGAAAGCCATAGAGACAAGCTACAGAGAACTGAATGGTTAGCTCCGTGGTCTGGCTGGCTTCATCCCTGATATGGCACATCCAAACACACTGAAAAGCAGTCCAAAAGAACCTCGCAGCTACTGTTACAGAATGGTGTCCCATATATAAGGTAATGTCCCTATTTCAAAAATTTCTCCCACTGCCTTGTAAAGGGCTGTTATGACATAAATATTCCATATTTTAGTTGCCCTGATATGTTTAATCTGTTTCATAATGCTATATCAACTGAGCATTTATATAGCAACAGACAAGACATGAAAAGATGTAAATGATGATTCTGAATGGATGAGGATACAGCCATGGCCAATTTTAAGCTACTATCCCCAAATCTGCATGACATGAAACCATATTCCTCAGGATAGTTGGAACATGGCTAAAGTCAAGACACCTCTTACATAAATATCAATGTGCAGCTTAATCTGCCTACACAATAGCTTTTCTCCTTTCAACAGAGAACTAACTGAAACAACAATAAATGCTGTAGTAACATACCTGTAAGAGTTTGTCAGGGTTTGTCTCCAGCTTGCTGCTTGCAATAATGACCATGAGGGAATCTAACACTTCAGATGCAGTCATTCGCTTCTGAGGCTCCAGGATCAATAGTTGACGGATGAGTGCTATTGTACTCTCAGACACTCTGCCATCACTGTGAGAAAACACACACAAACCATATCAGAACAAGCAATTGTCCTACATGACATTACGACACTAACTTTTTCCTTGTTGCCAATTAGACAGGTTCTCCTATGACTGTTATGACGCCGTCTAGTCATTGCTGATTTTATATTACCTACGATTCGTTATCTTTTATAAAACCTGCAGGATCATTACCATATTCACAAGAACCCACCACTCGTCTCCACCCTCGGCCAGATGAATACCATCCTCATATCCTATTTCTTTAAAATTTGTTCATTATCATCCTCCTATCTGAATGTACTTGTGTAAAATCATGAAATGTTGAATCCATATTGATGATAAGCTCTGTTAACAATACATTTTTATGTGAAACAAATTAATATCAAGACCAATGAGAGATTTAAAATTACAAGGAACTTATGTATGTGTAAAATAAATATACTCAATATTGGAATATACTTTCGCCTTAAAGAATACCTGAAAATGTCTAAAAGCTATTTTACGACAACTGTCCACATATAAAAAGAAACTAGGTTAACACAGCACATTCAGAAGGCAGTATACTGAAACTAATTCCACTAGAAGCCATCGTACATAAAATAACTTTCCTTGGAATGGAGTAATCAGCAGCTTTGATCTTGCTGAACAGTTGCGTTGGACTGGAGTCATAGAATGGGAATTGGCCATACAGCATAGTGAACAGTACCACGCCCAGTGCCCACATGTCTGATGGCTTGCCTGAAATGAAGTGTCATGCTTGTTGTACACTCAGTCCCACACCACAACGTTCATTCCTTCCACAGAGAAAAAGGAATACAAACACTCTTCAGTGTTCAGATCCTGAATGCACAATTGTACAGTTCAGGACATTATTCATGTTCGATCACAGCATAACACCAGGCATTTGAGCCTTGCTCCACAGTGAAATATTGTTGTTATTCACATTCCTTATACAATGTAACCATGGTAGAAGAAGTACGGCCTAAAACGAGAACTTTGTGACATTATCACTCTGCATTACTCACCAAGGTAAGGCTTTCCACACAGGACATCAGGAGAAATATACGCGGGAGACCCTCGCTGGTCCTTCAGTAGGTCATTCTCACTACCCAAGTGCTTCCCCAAGCAAAAGTTGGTGATGGTGACACGATGCGTGCGGCGATTTAACACCAGGTTACCTAATTTCAGGTCTCGATGGACGATATTCCTCTATAAAGAATTCAAAGTATAATGTATATAATACACTTAATCAAATCTAAATATTACATTTTAGAGTCTTAACTCACAATGATGAGAAGTGTGCACTATATACTAATTATGCATCATGCCATGCAGATATATATATATATATATAGAGAGAGAGAGGGGGGGGGGAGAGGGAGGATTGGAGGTATAGTTCCACACATTCTTAAACCTAACACTTGATGGAGATGAGTGGCTAGCTTCACCTCCACGGAAAGAATCCCAGCACCCAATGAGTAGGTGGGTGGATTGACTCCGGAGCCAGTCTGTATGTAGTAGTGATAAGAGAGAGTCCTGCGCTGCCATAATCAAACTGTAATCATTCATCCCACAAGCCTAGACACTATACTGAATTACTTATCCTGGCTATCAATACACATACTAAATTTCTTTCTCACTATTCATTCAGGAGGATGGTGTGACAAGATCAGGCAACTCAGCTGACTCTTAACAAGCTGACTTTACCTTGTGCAAGCTGTCGACTACTCGAACTGTGTCGTAGAATATAACGATACTCTCCTTCTCGCTTAGTTTTTTCTCCCGTATGACGTAGTGCTGGAGGTTCAGGAGGTCTGTACTGTGGGAGCTGAAGTCATGCGCACATAGGCAGTCCAAAACAAGGCACAGTCTCTGCTTCATTCGGCCAGTGTACAGAAGGCTGCCATTTTCTGTCTGATGTTCCTCAAATGCACTATCCTGAATCATAACAAGTCCATATTATATAATATGTTCAAAAAGAGACACAACCACTGACTAAACATACCTGATGAATCACAGCTTTATAAAGTGTGTATTATTCAGCAAAAATACTAACTTTTTAAAGTTGTGATTCATCAGGTATCCCCATATTTATGCAGGGAATACAATGGCCACCACTTTTAACAGTTTCTGTTAAGTAATTTCTTCCACTGGTTGCATTTCTTTCTGAACATACCATAGTAAAATATAAACCCTTCAGTACTTGTGAAGTCAAGAAAACTCTGAAAGTGATGGCATGCAAAATCTTGTACATATCAAAAGAAGTGGAAAGAATGTATGAAAACATAAAAAATGACAGTGCTTAATACAAATTATTTGAGAGATCAAGGAAAACGTGGGGAAAGAAAGTGAGGGAAGACTTGAAACAGAAACTAGAAAGAGTAGACACACAAAAGACAGTGGACTGAAAATGGAGTCATAAGATGCCTCACTAATTATACTGAGACAAACAAATTACTTTAAAGAATCCATGATGATGAATGACTCCATCTTGATTGTGAAGAAGTGAGAGGAGCGAGTACTCAGTGTGAAGCAACATCTTTCCCTGCCGATCATCCTGAGTCTCTTCTTCGGCATCCTTCAATGTTAAGACCTGAAATTCCAGTACCTTGGAATTAGCATCACATCAACAAATAGCTACACTCACCCGTATCTAGTTACTACTTTCTCAACCCTGTACTGGGGCACTGCAGCCTAGTGTAAATCACACCACATCACCAAGCCCCAGAAATAATGTTGACATGTGAAATGTGATATCTGATTCTGACACTAACAAAAATTACAAACAGAAAAAAAAGTTCTCTGCCAAATACTCAGATATAAAACTGATCAAGTTACTGGGAAATTTAGGATATTACATGATAAGGTATTTCAAAACTTACGCAGGTCACCTAGTGATATTTTGTAAATTACAATGTGCTGGACACTTACCTTGGCTGGAAGAAAAAAAAGCATGCATAGTTTTGTTGGGAAGATTTATTGGAAAATGACAGTTCTGAATATGAATAAACAGATTAGACAATAATATTAATCCTAAGAGAAACTGGTTATAAAAGAGTGGTAGACAGAACTGCCTCAGGACTGTGACGACTAACATTGGGAGGGAGAGGGGGGGAAATACCCACCTTTAATGTGTAGAAGTTATCAGTCCCATGTCTCCTGGCTAAACACTGGACAATACTTCTGACAGGGGAATTCCCCAGTATTGGGCCCAAAAGGTATGGACCCGCTCTCTTTACTGTCTTTGTGTTCACTGACGTACCAGATTTTGGAACTTGAGAAAAAAGAGATTAAAATACTATTTTCGTGGGAACAAAATCTTATACAAGCATAAACATCGTCACATGTACATACAAAGAAGAAAAAGGTACATCCTTACAAGGAAGTAACCTGTTACTTTTACTTACACAGTGTTCATACATTACACTATTTACACACATGTATTTATAGATATACTAGTGAACATAAAACAAATACATTTTCTCATATTTAGATAATAACAATTACAGATGTAGCCACAAGGGAAGGTGGCTTCATGCAAACACGTGCCATACTGTTTGTAACAAAACAATGAATTCAAGAACATTATGAAAGTGTAACCATGAACTTCAGCCTCTTTCAGTACACACACATCATTTTCCACCAAAATTCTGCTAATACATGGGTTCTACTGATGCTTACGACATCCAACACAAACACACTCAAATTAAATAAAACAAAAATAATTAAATATAACCTGACCTTCCACTGTGTTTTGACTTCTTGCAAAAATACAAAAACCTTCAAATATGAGCAAAAGGTATTTGTTTTAAATGTGACAGTACAACAACAGATATATGATGGTAAACAGCACACCTCTATTAACACACCACGGAGGTAAAAGAGGCAAGTAACTGGTCACTGTATTGTACAGATAATTGAGTCTATGTAATAGTTGCTCAGCTAGTCAACAAATATCCTGCCTTTCGTGAAACTAAAAGGTTCCCTGCCACGTTTACAAGATAATTAAATATAAGACACACCTTTAAGATACATGTATCATAGTTGTAACTGGTTAATTTGGAAAACACATGTTGAATATATTATCCTCAAAATAAGTTCAGCATCTCAGTTGTGAGGACAGTAATAACTGATGCTTTAAATTTAGTTTACTTTCCTTATATCATGTTGTGCTGCATAATATTGAGAAATTCAATCCATGAAACACAAATAAATACTAATTTGAATTCTTCTACTGAAATAACCAAACTAAATGACGAATTCTGATATATAGTTGCAGTTGTTTTCACATAATATTATGAAAATACTTAGATAAATTTATGAAAATAATTGCATTTGAAGTACTTACTCTCAAATTTTCTTCTCTTATTTTCACTGATGTGCTCAATATGGGTTCCAAAACGTGTACTGAAATGTCTTTCTATACGCTGTGCTTGGTCTATCGTTTCTTGTTCACCATCAGAAGGCACCTCACATTCTGGGACCTCCTGCATTCCCCCTTCAGTCTTGCTTTTAAAAACGCACCTCTTATGTTCACTAGCCATTATAATTCTCGAATATTTATTGCCACTGTGTATCTCTGCTCTCAGTGGGAAGTTACTCCGCTCAGTTTGAAAAGTATTACTCAATATCAAACTAGAACTTTGGCTGACTCTGGGTGAAAAATTATCAACACTCATTTCGTTGTCTTCCAAAGAAACATTATTTATACTTGCTCCGTTTTCCATTGTACTGGACAAAACAAATTATTTCTTTGATACACTACTGTTCATTCCCTTTTTTAAACATATATTACACTTTGAAACAGATGATGCATTATGTATAAATTCCACTCTGTAAAATAATTTACTTAACTTGAAATTTATTAAATTGTAAATCGTTATGTAAATAGCTGCAATAACTACAACATTAAATTTGTACTGCTACTGTATTCGTATTTACTCTGTATTCGTAGTATGACATGTTCCACATCACTGACTTGTAGTATGAAGAATCTGTAGCACATAAAAAATTCTAATTCTAATTAAGACCAAAAACAAGCAGTGTCACTTAGAAAATACCCTTTCTAAATATACTGCTTATACCTCATTTTATAAAATTCCTCATTTAACCTCTACAAACTTTGCTGCAGACTCTTTACTTCCATAAATCTACAAAATGCCAACATTTAAAAGATGAAATCGCATAGTTTAGATTTGTATTTGACACGCAGTGAAGCGCACAGGTAACACAACTTAACAAATCCTAAGCAAGTTCATACAGTGTCACAACCAGTAGGGCTACTGTGGACACGCAAACAGAAGCTCACCTACTGAATTCTACCGACGAACGAAGTCAAACACACCTAACTAAAGTACGACGTGCCTAAAAAGGTACTGCCATCTGTTGAGAGACAACTAATCTAATGGACGTGAATTAAAGAAGACGTACATTCCGACTGCTAACATCTGGTGACAACAAACATTACTAATGATATCTGTTACGCAAGGAATCCTTATACTTGAGAAAGCCATAAAATGCAAACTGAAGATTCCTGACATCTATCGAGAACTAAGAAACTTGACAGAAGCGTAGCTGTTGAAGTCTGACATCTGTTGAGAGAAGCAGAACTAATTTACAAACTATTAATTACAGCTAGAGAGATGCTGACATCTATTAACAAACATCACCACTGTCACAAGAGGAAAATGATAAATGATATGGGCTATAAAATGCACCACCAGAAATTTTGCCATCTGTCGACAACAGGCTAAAGTCTATGGACATATACTACTGCTGAAGACTGGCATCTGATGACAAAATCAGAACTATTTACTTTACGGACCGTAAATTGCAGCACGGGAGATGCTGACATCTGTTGCGAACAAATATTACTACTGAACGTGTGGTGCTGTTGAAATCTGACATCTGATGACAAAATCAGAACTATTTACTTTACGGACCGTAAATTGCAGCACGGGAGATGCTGACATCTGTTGCGAACAAATATTACTACTGAACGTGTGGTGCTGTTGAAATCTGACATCTGATGACAAAATCAGAACTATTTACTTTACGGACCGTAAATTGCAGCACGGGAGATGCTGACATCTGTTGCGAACAAATATTACTACTGAACGTGTGGTGCTGTTGAAGTCTGACATCTGATGACAAAATCAGAACTATTTACTTTACGGACCGTAAATTGCAGCACGGGAGATGATGACATCTATTGCGAACAAATATTACTATTGAACGCTAGGTGCTGTTGAAATCTGGCATCTAATGACAAAATCAGACCTATTTACTTTACAGACGGTAAATTGCAGCACGGGAGATGCTGACATCTGTTGCGAACAAATATTACTACTGAACGTGTGGTGCTGTTGAAGTCTGACATCTGATGACAAAATCAGAACTATTTACTTTACAGACGGTAAATTGCAGCACGGGAGATGCTGACATCTATTGCGAACAAATATTACTATTAAACGCTAATTGCTGTTGAAGTCTGACATCTGATGACAAAATCAGAACTATTTACTTTACGGACCGTAAATTGCAGCACGGGAGATGCTGACGAATTTGCCAAGTCTCTGCAGAAACAGAATTCCTAAACTGTATCCGAAATTAAAGCACATTACAGCGGCCTTTGGGTAGCCAGTGACGTATTGCATGACTGCCTCTTCCATTCGTTGTGTAATACGGCATTTAAAATATAAACTGGAAATTAAAACCACAGCATTAAGATCACTACAGATCGGATCGTTTGTAATGTGGTTATTATTATGTATGTAACCCTGCAATTTTTTAATTCTTATTTTTATTTCATTTATTTATTTTTTTGCAGAGACATTGATACAAATTACACTTAACATTGATCTTAACGTCGTCATATTTATTTTTGGGAAATTTAACTGTTATTTTGCGTCTGGCCATGCAGCGCTGAATAAG